ATTCATTTTATGCTGTTGTGTTTCATTCATTAGTTACAACCTACTGCTCCTACTTATGCTACTCCTACCACTGAATATACTCCAGCAGCTGCTTCTACTGTAAGGACACTACAAGGAGGAGATGGACCATCTTCTTATTCACCATCACCTCCTACTGGTAGTACATCTATGTATTTTAGGTCATTTTAAATGACCATAACTTTAAAAGTTTTAATAAAAATCAACTAAAACTTACATAAGGACATGTATGATGTATCAGGAATGTAGTAAAAATGTAGAAGTGATTTTAATGCCAACTATTAAACAAAAGGCATGCATAAAGTACATGTTAAACTAGTAGCTCATAGTTTCAGTGTATCAAGTACATCAGCAGTTTTTTCTATTGTAATACAGGTTACTTAAATTTTTGTTTGATACACTACACAATGACATTAGTACAAACATCACTTTATTACAATAACTAAATCAATTCACATACACTATATACCTAGCAAATACTTACATCCAGTCATCATTTAGTGTACATTAGCAAGAATAACATTAACCTTCCTCTACCTGTCATGACATGAACCATATGTGTATACATGTACCACACAATAAGCTGACAACAGCCTACACAGGGTAATCATATGTTTGACTGTAAGATACAATGAACTAGCACATGATAGACAAGAAGACATGATAGGCAATGTGCTTAGGTACATTTGTATTAGTGTTGTTGTAGTTCCTTGGTACTAGAACTAAATCAATTCTAGTACTGCCTTTTTTTCATAGTTCTAGTTCCAAGAACTAGAACTAGTACTATTTTTACAACCAATGTAAGAACCAGAACTAAACTAGAACTAGCTTATACAAGACTTGTAGTACTAGAACTAAACTGGAACTAAACTTTGCCAGAGTCTCAGTACTAAGACTAAACTGGAACTAAAAGTACATTCTCTTGTGGTACTAGAACTAGTTTGGAACTAGAATTGTAGAACAATATTACTTCACAAAGAAGGTACTAATTTTTCAGTGAAATATTTTAGTACATAACAAAGACTGAATAACAAATAATGTATGAATTTGTTACTTAGACATAAATTATAATGCCTAAGTATATCAATAGACTTTGAATACTTGTTCAGTTCAAAGCTAAGCAGTTAAAGCATGACAGCAGAAGCAAAAAGAAGCAGTATTTAGAAATTATTTCCAATTAGAACTAAGCTTCTTAAACTCTATTGCCAGAACAAGTACAAGAACTATAACTTAGCTCTAGAACAAGAACAATAGCTAAAATTTATTGAAATCTAGTTCTAAAACTAGTACTAGAACTAACTTTATCAAACTATAGTTCTAGAACTAGTACTAGAACTAAACTTTATCAAACTCTAGTTCCAGAACTAGTACTAGAACTAAACTTTATCAAACTCTAGTTCAAGAACTAGTACTAGAACTAAACTTTATCAAAGTCTAGTTCTGGAACTAGTACTAGAACTAAATTTTATCAAACTCTAGTCCTAGAACTAGTACTAGAACTATATAAAATTATGGTACTACAACAACACTAATTTGTATATACATTATTATTATTATTAATATACAATATTCACTAGGTGAGTACAGTGTTCTTAGAGCTAGTGATGATGATGATGATACTCCCCCACCAGTACCAGCCTATAATCCTAATAGAGGACAAGAATACTCTGAACTGAAGAGAGAGGGAGAGGTATAATAAACAAAATACCAGACATACATTAACAATAATGTATAATAGAAAAATAATAAACAACAACAACAACAAGGAGCTGGTTCACTTTATTCAACACTCAAT